TAAAATCAGGCATAATTATAGATAATACCACAGACCACTACCCTACTTTCCTCATAACAACTCTTGGTAAATTACCCCAAGACACTACTAAAGTCACCTTCAGACTTCACAATGAGGCAACCATTAATAACTTCACAACAGCAGTAACAAACATTGACTGGCATACTGAGCTAGAAATCTATACAGATATTGACGAATGTATTAAGAATTTTCTAAAAAAGACCCAATACCTCTATAACAAGCACTGCCCTAAAAAACTAAACAGATGACAGCTAAGAGACTGAACAGTCCCTGGCTAACACCCAGCATTCTCAAATCCATAAATACAAAACACCTACAGTGTATATGAAAAACAGTACAGAATGGGTCACATAACCAGAGACCAAACAAAACGTTACTCGTCAATCCTAACCAGCCTTATAAGAAGGGCAAAAAAATTGTATTATGAGAACAGATTATCCAACTTACGAGGTGATATAAAAAAGACCTGGAAAACCCTATCAGAAATTCTAGGAACAAAAAAGATATCACGAAATAGCGAAATTAAATTAGCAAAATCAGATGAACCCCAACTCCCACCAACAGAAACAGCAAACAGACTCAATGATTTCTTCTCCACTATAGGAAAAAACCTTGCCAATAAAATCCCAAGCTCAGATACCCCACCAAATGACTACCTCACTGGCAACTACCCGAACACACTGTTCCTAGCTCCGACTAACCCATACGAAGTCTCCCTTATTATCAACACACTAAAAAACAAGGCAGGAGATTTAAATACCTTACCACCCTTTATATACAAAAAAGTGTCACAAGTGCTATCACCAATCATTGTAACACTCTTTAATAAATCCATTGAATCCTCCACCTTCCCTACAGTTCTCAAAATAGCAAGGGTCACCCCGATCCATAAAGGAGGAGACCTAACAGAGTTGAATAACTATAGGCCAATATCCAACTTACACCCCCCTCTCAAAAATCTTCGAAAAATTAATTCATAAACGAATCTACTCCTACCTCATCTCCCAAAACATACTCAACCCCTGCCAATTTGGATTCAGGCCTAAAAAAAATACTAATGATGCTATTATACACATGCTAGAACATATATATACTGCAATAGAGAAAAAAGAAGTCCCACTGGGGATCTTCATTGACTTACGTAAAGCTTTTGATACAGTTGACCATGACTTGCTCCACGTAAAATTGTCACACTATGGTATAAGAGGGCACTCCCTCAACTACCTCAAGTCTTACCTCAGCAACAGAAGCCAATATGTGTACACAAATGGGGCAAACTCTTCCGCACAACCAATTACAGTTGGTGTCCCACAGGGAAGTGTCCTTGGCCCTCTTCTCTTTCTCCTATACATAAATGACCTACCAAATGCTTCGCAATTACTCAAACCCACACTATTTGCAGATGACACTACATACGTCTTCTCTCACCCGAGCCCAGTCATGCTAGCCAGTACTGCAAATACCGAATTACAGAAAATATCTACCTGGATGAGGACTAACAAACTTGCACTAAACATTGACAAAACCTACTTCATTCAGTTTGGTAACAGAGCTACAGATGTCCCTCTTAACATAATGATAAACGGATCACCTTTCACAAAGCTAACAGAGGGAAAATTCTTAGGAATCCACCTTGATAATAGACTCAAATCTCATACACATATACAACAAATTTCTAAGAAAATTTCCAAGACTGTAGGCATACTATCGAAGATACGGTACTATGTTCCACAGTCAGCCCTCCTGGCCCTATATCACTCTCTTATTTACCCCTATCTCACCTACGGAATTTGTGCATGGGGCTCAACAACAATTAACCATCTCAGACCACTAATTACCCAACAAAAGGCTGCAGTCAGAATGATAACAAATTCCCACTACAGGCAGCACACTCCACCAATATTCAAAACATACATAGAACACTTAACTCTGATATTAACCCTCCCCTCAAACATCTCCTTACCAACCTCAACAGAACACATGACCATAACACAAGGCACAGATCACTCTTTGATGTTCCTCGTGTCCATCTCACGCTATGCAAAATCTCAATGCACATAAAAGGCCCTAAAATCTGGAATTCATTACCTGTAAATATAAAAGAAACACTACCTGTTTATAAATTCAAGTCTCTTCTAAAAGATCACTTACTCACCCAAAACCAAATAAATACTGAATAACTGAACCTTATAAATTGTATATCTTAAATGTTTCTCATAATTATATCGCATAAATGTTAAACCTAGGACCCAATCTAACTTTGTTATTTTTTAAATACACTACCTAACAGAATACTCCATTCTACTGAATGTACAACAATGCATGCAACCATATGACCTGTCTTTGTAATACTCATTTGTGCTTTATTGCTATCTGTTTACAATAATGTTTTATCACTGATTACATCATTGCTTAGTTAATCTTAAGTTAATTTTAAGCCAGCCCGTAATGCTATGCATACAAGTGGCTTTGGCATGCTGCTCTTACCTGTATTTTTTTGTACCTCTGTATGTTCAAATTATTAATAAATAAATAAATAAATAAATAAATAAATAAATAAATAAATAAATAAATAAATAAATAAATAAAGGGATCGGGGGCTTCAGTTTCCAGGCAAAGAGCCCTTCACCGGCGTCAACACGCTCCTCTTGAAGGGACGTTCAGCAGAGCCGATGCCGGAGTCACGTCTCAGGATGTTGTGGTTATGGCGTTGTGAGGAATTGTCATGTCGGCATGATGGCAGATTTCAGAGAAAAATATAGCATGGCTATTATAAACGACGCCAAAGAAAAATCTAGCGTCGTCATAGTGAACAACAGCAGTGAAAAAATCTAGCGTCATCGTTGTAGATGACACCAGGGGACAAATCCTAGGGTATTTATGGTCGACAACGCCAGGAAAAAATTATAGCATCGTCATTGCAGAACTCGCTAGGGAAAAACTTTAGCGTCATCATGACAGAGGACGTCAGGGGGAAAATTCTGTCATCACTATAGACAACGCCAAGTATAATTTTGGCGTCATCAGGGCTGGTGGACGAAGATATGTTTCTGGCATGTGTCCCGTCCTGTGAACCTTGCGTCGTCGATGTTACAAAGTTTCTCATAAAATGTATTAATGATTCCCTTTGTGGACCGTTTTCTCTGGCATGGTCGGGAATTTGTGGAAACTGCGTACTTTCACATAGTTTTGGTGTCTTCTAACGAGATTACATTCATTAGTTTTCGTCGAAGCGTAATACTTTCGTTTATGTGAAGCGTGATCGCTGTTTAGATCGTTGTTGTTTAGGTGGGAATTTTGTTGGTGGTCTACTCTTCTTTCTCAGGCTTCGTGACTGTTCCAGTGACCGTCCCGCTCATTTTCAAGAGATAAATTCCCATTCATTACTTGCGTCAGGGATCCAGTTCTAGATATGCGTCCCGATGGGGTTTCCTATAAATAGTTTAGTGGGTCGCTGCCTCCCCCCCCTGCTCGGTCCCCGACCAGGCCTCTTACCTGGAGTATACTTGAAGAGGGTTTCGGGGGTGAACGCCCCCACGGCCCATCTGAAACCAGGCCTCATGATGGATCAGGGTCTGATCAAAGAGGCTGTTACTGCTGGCCGCACGCAAACTGACGTACGAATCACAGCCCGGCTGGTCAGGTACTGACTTTAGGTGCCTGTCCAGTGCCTTCTTGAAGACAGCCAGGGGTCTATTGGTAATTCCCCTCTTGGACATAAGTCTCACATCTTACCTGATCAGGTACTGTCTGAAAAAATCCGTAAAATTCCTGACATGTTGGAGCCTTTTGTTGGCAGGTACTCATTAGTCACAGAGCTGACAACACTTACTTGGGAAGAAATTAACTAAAAGTCCTTCATGTACTCCTTCGGCAATCTCCTGGACTTGTAGCGGATAATGACAGATAGAATTCTGTAGAAACGGTAGAAAGAGGACAATTTGGATAAACACAGTTCTTAATACTAACCTTTTCATCTTGCTCCTGAGGGTGATGATAATGGAAGTTCACGCACGATTACCAAACACTTATTCTTTACACATATGTTACTATGTATGATAATCTACGTAACTGTATTTGTGTATACCTGAATAAACTTACTTAACAAAAATGGTCATTAACTAATCTCACAGCTGTTATCACTAGTGTGTCTTCTCACTTGAATGGTAAAACACCGTTCACTTTAGCTTCATGTGGTTTTGCTCAAGCTATGCTAATCTTCCTCTCACTTTTACTCATTGCGTGTGGACGAAAAATACTGAAGTCCGCACGAAGGAGTTGGACGAGATGTTTATAGGGTGGTGGTGGAGCGTTGAATGGCGGGGAGGCTGCATCTCTCACCTTACATATGGGCGGCGGTCACAGTTATAACCTGCTGTTATCTTGGTCTGAGAAAAGTGTTGGATGCGATGAGAGGAGTGTGTTGGGCTGGGGGTGACGGCATGCTATCGCAATATGCGCCAGGAATGTCGATAATAAAGAATTGTTTCAATGTTACTGAAATAAGGTACTTTTTTTTTTTTTTTTTGGCATACGTTCCTGGATAATACTCAGTGAACGTATCCTCCTCCTTCGATGACCTTGCTGAAGTCACTCAGCTCAGGCTGAAAACCTTACCACTTGATGTATGAAACTCATCCTTTGTGATGGAATATAACACGATAACATATCTAGTTTTCCTTCCCACTGTGTAACTGTCAATTAGGATAGAGGTACCAAATTAGATTTTTTCCTCGAAAGTATCCATATATATTTTTTTCGTAACGATGCAATAAAATTTAGACAAAAATATAAGAATTAGTGGAATTCATTTAAAACAGATCTTCTGGCTCACCAGAAAATACCACACTCAGCTCAGGAACAAATTATTCACTTAATTATCCAAGGATCCTCCAGGGACTCTGAACCCGACTCGACAGATACCAGACTATGATCCCTGGTCTAGAAGTATGGGTATTCTTCAACATTAATAGATTCACCATAGTGTCAGGGTGCCGTTTAACCGACTCTTGAATAATTCAGCAGATGCTTGAGTTATTCTATATATTGTCATTTTTCTTTTGAGGGGACAGGGCCAGGATATGACTTCCGGTACGACTGGAGTTTCTAGTTCATTTGCATAGCAATATCCTACTGGAAGCTGCTTACCACAGTCGGCTGATACACAGGTTAACACACAAGACATGGAAGGTTTTGATGACCAGGAATGTTTGTCTCGCTGATTCATATTAGTGTGCCAGTGTATTCTTGACGACCTCGTCTGTGTATCTCAGTGATTCTGGACCATCAATGTGGTCCTGACGACCTGGTCTGTATATCTCAATGATCCTGCACCATCGGTGTGGCCTTGACGACCTCGTCTGTGTCCACCAGTGTGGTCTTGACGACTTGGTCAGTGTATTCTAGTGACCCACGGCTATCAGTGTGGTCTTGACGACCTGGTCTGTGTAGCTTAGTGATGCTGCTTCGCTACTGTTGTCTTGACGATCTGGTCTGTGTATCTCACTGATCCTAGACCATCAGTTAAGTCTTAACGACTATGTCTGTGTATCTTAGTGATCCTGGACCGTCAGTGTGGTCTTGACGACCTGGTCTGTGCATCTCAATGATCCTGGACCATCAGTGTGATCTTGACGACTTGGTCTGTGTATCTCAGTGTTCCTGGACCATCAGTGTGGTCTTGACGACCTGGTCTAACGTATCTCCCGTGATCCTAGACTATCAGTGTGGTCTTGACGACCTGGTCTATGTATCTCAATGATCCTGGACCATCAGTGTGGTCTTGACGACCTGGTCTACGTATCTCAGTGATCCTAGACTATCAGTGTGGTCTTGACGACCTGGTCTATGTATCTCAATGATCCTGGACCATCAGTGTGGTCTTGACGACCTGGTCTGTGTAACTCGGTGGTACATTGCCTGTTCACCTCTCCTTTATCGTAGGACATACGGTGATGTGGGTGTGATTTTCGCTCACCATGAGGTGAGCGAAAACGACATGGGTTCGAATACTCTGCTAGTCGCAGTGTTATTATTGATTAATGCCACTCGTTCGTGGTTACGATAATATATATATATGCTGCTCGTGAGGCTAGTACACAAAACGGGGAGTAGAATGAAATTAGATCAAAGGCACCCACATCATCGTATGTTCTCGGATGACGATAAAACACCTAACTCTGCTGGGTGCGTCATGTAGGATTGCGTGGTCCCGTGGATTAGAGCGTCATATGTGATTTTCGCTCACCTTGAGGTGGGCCAAAACGACATGGGTTCGATCCTCGGCTAGTTGCAGTGTTGTTATTGATTAATACCACTTGTTCGTTGTTGCAGTAATACACACACACACACACACACACACACACACACACACACACACACACACACACACACACACACACACACACACACACACACACAGAAATATAAAGGTGTACGTACGAATGATATTGAAGTACTGGAAACAATCTCAAACATATAAATAGTCAAAGAACACTTAGAGACATGGAGATTTTCTGAAGAAAACCAGCACGGTTTAATACAGGAAACTGAGGAAGAGGCAGGGTTAATTAAAGGACTGAGTGCTGTAGTGGGTCAGTGAGCACCCGCATGACTGTAAGCAGAGAGTAGCAATCAGGATGAGACTTCAGAATGTGAAGGAGTAACAAATGGGGTTCCGCTAGGATTTGAACTAGACCACTATTGTTCTCGCTGTACGGAACGACTTGCCTGAAGCGATTGAGCCGTATGTCTCACTGTACGTGGAGGATGTAAAACTAATACGAGAAGAATAAGAACAGGAGAAGACAGTAATAAACGACAAGGACACCTGAACAGACTATCCGATCAGATATTAAGTCATGTGATTTGGAGAAAGTGAGAGCAGTCCGGCAACAGTAAAGCATGGACAGAGAGAATCTAAATATATCAGTGCGTGAAAAGGACCTGAGGGTGAGCATAACATCAAGCATATCCCAGAAATACACATAAATTGTATAACGTAAGCAGTATATACCAAATTTCTGACATTACCTCAACTCCACTAGACTCTGAGAAAGCCATTGACAACATGCCCATGCACTCAGCCCCAGGCCCAGACTCTTGGAACTTTGTGTTCATTAAGAACAGCATGAAACCCCTCTCACGGCCCTATGTATGCTATGTATAAGGAGAATAAACACAGGTGAGATTCCACAGTCACTAAAAACAACGGATATAGCCCCACTCCATAAAGGTGGCAGCGAAGCAACAGCTAAGAACTATAGATCAATGGTTTTAACGTCCCACATCAAAAACATTTTTGAAAGAGTTCTAAGAAGCAGGATTGCAAACCACTTGGGCTCCCAACAATTGCACAATCCAGGGCAACATGGATTCAGAGCAGGTCGCTCCTGCCTCTCGCAACTACTGGATCACTATGATATGGTCTTGGATGCACTGGAAAACAAACAGAATGCAGATGTAGTATACAAAGATTTTGCAAAAGCCTTTGACAAGTGCGATCATGGTGTAACAGCACAGAAATGCGTGCTAAAGGGATAAGTGGCAAAGTAGGCAGATGGATCTTCAACTTTGGAACCAATCGAACACAAAGAGTAGTGGTCAACAGAGTTAAATCGGAAGCTGCAATAGTGAAGAGCTCTGTTCCACAAGGTATAGTACTTGCGCGTATCCTGTTCCTCATCGTCATATCAGACATAGACAGAGATGTAATCCACAGCACCGTATCATCCTTTACAGACGATACTAGGCTCTACATTAGAGTGTCATCCACTGAGGACACGGCAAATCTCCAAGAAGATATAAACCAAGTTTTCCAATGGGCAACGGAGAACAATATGATGTTCAATGAAGACAAATTCCAACTACTCCCTTAAGGAAAACTGGAGGAAATAATAGCTAGAACCGAGTATACTGCAAACTGTAATCACACAATACAACGGAAAAGTAATGTGAAGGACCTGGGAGTGGTAATGTCTGAGGCTCTCACCTTCAAGGATCACAACAGTGCCACAATCACATCTGCGAGGAAACTGATAGGAAGGATAATGAGAACATTCAAGACAAGATATGCCAGCCAATGATGATCATTTTTGAATCACTTGTTCTCCCTAGGCTGGAATACTCCATTCAAGGCAGGTGAAATTGCAAATCTAGAGAATGTACAGAGAACCTTTACTGCACATATAAGTTCCATCAAACACCTTAACTACTGGGAACGTTTGGAAGCCCTTGACTTGTACTTACTGGAGCGCAGGCGAGAGAGATACATCCCTAATCTACACCGGAAGATCCTGGAGGGACTGGTCCCTAATCTGCACACAGAAATCACTCCCTACGAAAGCATAAGACTTGGCAGGCGATGCAACATACCCCCAGTGAAAAGTAGAGGCGCCATTAATACACTAAAAGAAAACACAATAAGTGTCAGGGGCCCAAGACTGTTCAACAGCCTCCCACCAGCCATAAGGGGAATTGCCGATAGATCCCTGGTTGTCTTCAAGAGGGAGTTGGAAAGATACCTAAAGTCAATGCCGGATCAGCCGGGCTGTGGTTCGTATGTTGAACTACGTACGGCCAGCAGTAACAGCCTCGTTGATCAGGCCCTCCAGGTAGACTGTTGTCTTGGTTTTAGATTACTGTTAACCAGAACTCCCTAATCCTTTTAGCAATCAGTAATATTAAGATCCACATTATTTAGTTTATGTATGGCATAGTTATTTTCTTGTCCAATGCTTAGAACTTTGCATCTGCCACTTCTCCGACCACTGCATCAGTCTATTCAAATCTTCTTGGAGTGCTCTAATGCCCTCATCTGAATGAATTAGGCGACCTATTTTGGTGTCATCAGCAAACTTGTTTATGTCCCTATTTATTCCCTCATCAATATCGTTCATATAATTGTGAACACAAAGGGCCCAACACTGACCCCTTTGGAACACCTCTCGTGACGCACCCCCGACTCTGATTTCTCCCTATTGATGCAAACTCTCTGCTGTCTACCTGTCAACCACATCTCTATCCAGGAAAAAATTCTCCTCCTGTTCCGCATGCCTTAATTTTCCTCAAAAACCTCTGATGTGGAACTCTATCAAAAGCCTTATTGAAGTACATATATACAATATCATCTTCATTACCATGATCTATTTCCTCAAATACCTTGATGAAAAACGTTAGTAAATTCGTAATGCAGGAACGCCCCTTTGTAAAACCGTGCTAAGATTCATTAATCTACTTATGCCTTTCAAGATGGCTACGAATTGCCTCGGCAATTATTGATTCCATAACTTTCCCCACTATGGAGGTAAGGCTTATTGGCCTATAGTTCGAAGCTAAGGACCTGTCTCCTGCTTTGTAAATAGGTATTACATTTGCCATTTTGCACTTGTTGAAAAGACTGACCAAAGGTTTGCTAAGCTCTCCTTTTTACATTCCTTTAAAACTATTGCAAACAGTTTATCAGGGTCAAGGGATTTGCTCGGTTTTAATTTCTCTATTTGTCTGAGGACCAATGTTTTACACAAACAGCCAGTCAGGGAGATGGGAAGAAACAAATTTTGTAGAATAGGCTTGGGAACTAGTACAATAACACTATTGGTCCACGAGGAAGGTAATTGACCCATAACATAACTCACACTGTATAGTTCTAACAGTGGGTTACCAGGGATACGTCACAGTATTCTAATATCATAGGTGATTCCATCCTACCGAGGAGCAGTGACTTTGTCCCTGACAAGGGCAGCGTCTGCTACCTTTTCGGTATATAGAATATCACACTCATCATGCTGTTTGCTTAGCATAAACTGGACGAGATTACATTTATCATTGAACTCATTAAGTTCTCCCTGATATGTAAGAGTTATGTTACAACAAGAAACTTGTGTCCAATTCGTGATTAACTCATTAACTCGTTTTCTTTGTGCAGTTGATTGGGGCGATCAGCTTGTCTTCTTTTTTCCACTTATTTTATTAATATCTTTCCATGCTTTCCGCAGAGGAGTGTGCTGATTGAGACCACTAACATAATTTTCTCAGTCATGTTACCTAAGCTCAGTTATTTTTTCCCTTACGGCACCAAAAGAAGCTGGAAATAATTTGAACATTCGGAGGATACTGATACGCTTATAATCTTTCCCAAGTTCTCTAGCTTATTGTAACCAGATCTAGTTCATTACCTTCGTAATTAGTCCTGAGTGTGACCAGGTCTACCTGGAGCTCATTACTTTT